TCATTTCAAGGGTTGCAACATAACTCAATCTTCATCCAATACTTCGCTAAATAATATCATGTCCGCATTTTTTGCAAAAAAATGCTACTGTGAAATCATTTTCCCAAAACCGAAACATGCAAATTACAAATATTAGTACGTGCTTTTTGTAGGAAATGGACTTATGGACAAGTAATTATCTTCAATCAACACTTGCCACTCAAACTGGCAAAAACAATTAACAAATAAATAAGATACAGTGTAAGTATGTGAAGGACTGAGTTTGTTAATGTCTTAGTCTTATACATGATATATAAAAAAATAGGTTCAGCTATGATACCAATATTTGCATATTGTTTTAAAAACCATAGACTATAGCGTTGTCTTGGATGTTTGACAACTCTAGACAAGTTGGTAGGTTTTTGGCTCCGCTAAACAATTTCCAAGATGGTTTGAGTCCCCGAAAAGTGGTATCTTTTAGTCCCACACTTACTTTCTTATCGCCCAGCTGGAAGCATAAAAAACCGCTAGTCGCAACCAAGCCGCTTTAGTTTTTCAATTTTATCAGTTTATTTGTATTCGAAATCGGCAATCTCGAGTACTATAAACCCATAGACTCACGGTAAACATTGCCAACGAACTTTGGACTGCGCTACGTCATCAGCGGGACGGGTCTAAAGTCCAACTTGTTGCACCGATCTTGTTGTTTGTGTTGTGTTTGGGATCCGAGTAAACACAACAACATATATACATACGTTTATAGGAACAGTTTAGCGCAGCTCTAAGACTCTTCCCACTTGTTAACCCCTATCAGCTGAGAAGGCAACAGAAAAATGTCGGCACTTTTGAAAATACACAGAGGTAAGTGTTCCCAGAACCAAAATTTTGGGAATTACATAACCGCAAAGATGATGTCGATAGACATATACCTCTCAACCCCTGAACTTTGCTGATTATACAATGATCTATCTATTCCCCATCCAGTCCAGAGGCTTTTTAGGCCCAACTTGGTGCGCAGCATCTCGGAGGTGGCCAAATATCCCAGGATCACCACGCATTACACGCTGAATCCCCGCGAGAAGGATGATCGCTGGACAGAGGTGGACATGGAGCGCTGCATTGAGGAGGTGGACCTGGTGATCGTGGGTGGAGGACCTGCTGGCATGTCGGCAGCCATTCGGGCCAAGCAACTGGCGGCGGAAAAGGATCAGGTAAGATCAGGATTCCCATCCCCATCCTAATCATGCTTATAACTCATTTACCCACAGGAAATCCGCGTCTGTGTGGTGGAAAAGTCCGCCGAGGTGGGCGGACACATACTCTCCGGTGCCGTCATCGATCCCATCTCGCTGAACGAACTCATCCCCGACTGGCAGGAGCAGGGTGCTCCGCTCAACACGCCCGTGAGCAAGGACACCTTCTCCTTCCTTACCGGCTCCGGCCGGATCTCCATACCCGTCTTCAAAGGTTGGCCCATGGACAACCATGGCAACTATGTGGTCCGCTTGGGACACCTGGTCAAATGGCTTGGCGATCAGGCGGAGGCCCTCGGCGTGGAGATCTACCCTGGCTGCGCTGCTTCCGAGGTGCTCTTCCACGAGGATGGCAGTGTCAAGGGCATCGCCACCAATGACGTGGGCATCGCCAAGAGCGGCGCTCCGAAGGACACCTTTGCACGCGGCATGGAGCTGCACGCCAAGACCACCATCTTCGCCGAGGGCTGCCGGGGTCACCTGTCCAAGCAGATCATGCAGAAGTTCGGCCTGAACGAGGGCAGCGAGCCACAGGCCTATGGCATCGGTCTGAAGGAGGTCTGGGAGATTGCCCCCGAGAAGCACCAGTAAGTGGCTCTAAAAATTGACCACTTCCCACCTTAACTATCTCCTTTTCTAGACCCGGTTTGGTAGAGCACACCATTGGCTGGCCTCTGGACCGGTTCACATATGGCGGGTCTTTCTTGTACCACTTGAACGAGCCCACGCCCACCATCGCAGTTGGCTTCGTGGTGGGTCTGAACTACAAGAACCCCTGGCTCAGTCCCTTCCAGGAGTTCCAGCGCTTCAAGACGCATCCCAAGGTGCGCCATGTCTTCGAAGGCGCCACGCGAATCGCCTACGGTGCCCGTGCCATCAACGAGGGCGGCTTCCAGAGTCTGCCCCAGAAGCTATCCTTCCCCGGAGGCTGTCTGGTTGGCTGCAGTGCTGGTTTCCTAAATGTGCCCCGCATCAAGGGCTCTCACTATGCGATGAAAAGTGGCATGCTGGCGGCGGAAAGTGCCCTGGAGGCCATCAATGCGGACACGCAATCGACGGCTGGCGTAGAACCCACCAACTATGCGGAGAAGTGAGTTATCAGACCAATCATAAAGTGATTCACCAACTTAACTTCCCTCCTCCAGAATCAAGAATTCCTTTGTGTGGAAGGACCTGTACAGCGTCCGAAATGTCCACCCCTCGTTCCACAATCCCTTGGGTCTGTACGGTGGCCTTGTGCTCAGCGGCTTTTCCATTTTCATGGGCGGTCGGGAGCCCTGGACTCTTAAGCACGGCCCCCAGGATCACGAATCCCTGCAGCCTGCCAGCTCCAGCCAGCTTATTGTGTACCCCAAGCCCGATGGCAAGATCTCCTTCGATCTGCTCTCGTCGGTGGCCCTCACCGGTACGAACCACGAGGGCGACCAGCCCGCCCATCTGACCCTCAAGGATGACCGCATCCCGGTGGACCACAACCTGGCGCTGTACGAGGGACCCGAGCAGCGCTTCTGCCCCGCCGGCGTCTACGAGTACGTGCCCAACGAAGAGGGCGGCAACATGAAGCTGCAGATCAACGCCCAGAACTGCATCCACTGCAAGACCTGTGATATCAAGGACCCCAAGCAGAACATAAACTGGGTGGTGCCCGAGGGAGGCGGCGGTCCCGCCTACAACGGCATGTGAACGGGTGGTCGACCCAGTCACTTTGTGTACCGCAATTGCATTTCCCTAGTTTATAAAATTGAGAATTTGAACTTATGATTCGGAGTTAAGCCTAAAGTTGCAATAAAATTGTATAAAGAAATCAGGAGATTCAGTTGCCAAAAAGGTTTTATTTAAAATGTTCTACTATCATTTGTTCGGTTTTGTTCTCGTTTTTTTTTCTGTTTAAAACACCAACTTAATAGGTAAATATTGAATCCACAATCAATTTGTCAATTTTTTTTCCAAAACCTTTCATATTCAGTGCACGGATAAAACTTGTTTCTCATTATATAGTTTCACATATATATTCATGTATAATGTACTAACTTGTTTTTCACCAAAACGGTTGCATGTTCTTAGCTTAGAGTTACGATTTAGTTGTATATGGTTATTTGAACAGACACATCGATGGATACACTTAAGTGGGTGACCCTCTCTCCGAAATGCTCCCTAATCTTTGTGCACATCCGCATATCACTCCCAGACCTATCTAGAGTTTAGCTGAACATGTACAATATTCTCTAAGTGAGTTCAAGCACAAGTCTTTGAATAACTAATATATTATGATGCTTGTGGTGTGCCACATAAATCCCATTACAACAGTGCGTAGGTTTAACATTTTATCTAGGTATTATCCTAAAGGTACAGCGAATACGAATTTACACTCTGGACGATCCGTGTGCGGATCCCGACTTCTCGATTATTTCTGTGCTGAGTGGTCCCTGTGACCGTAGGACGTCTTCTAGACAGTCAACTGTACAGTGCGTCGATCAAATATACTTTACTCCTATCAATATCTCCTCCCTTTCCTTCCTTCCTTCTTTTAACTAGACTACATATATGGGTTTCTGGGTAAGCCTTTCTTATGCAATGCCAATTGAAACGACCCTTTGTACATTACGTGCTGCTTAGTGGAGGTTATCTCTCTCGGGATTTCACTAGGGTTCGATTAGGTTAATATCAGTTATCAGATTTATCTACGCCTATTTAAATAGCACAATTAACACCTGTATTGAAATTTTTCACCATCAAGTTGTTCGTTATCATTATCATTTGCAATCAACATTGGTACAACATTCAGTTATATCTTCATGTATTTGTTTGTTCATCAAAAAGAGGCACTGTTTTTAAGGCAACACTACACAGTGAAGTTATATACCAGGATCAGGATCAGGATCTATATACATAAACCGAATGAGGTCCAAATTAAAATGAAAAAGTCTGGGAAAATCCGAAAAGTTCTTGCAAATCATATGAAAATCATTTAGGGTCAACAAAGGGTTGGGGTTACAACATTCAGTGGTGCAACAAGTATACCCACAAATATTCACATCACATTTAACATGTATGTACATAATAGGTATTTATAATTTAACCAACAAGGAGCAGGCCATCTCAAGCAGGTCTTGGAGTTACTGGAGAAGACTTTAGACTATCTATAAGACGGACTGCTCTGTGGACTAACTAAGTGTATTTTACACTGGGTCCAGGGTTTCTCATCCTAAAAGTACGCTTCGGTTTTTTAAGGAACCTCGGCTAGTTTCTTATCATATATATATATATATAACGTATATGGCTAGAAAATATCTTTCACGTGCTGGTAGACTTATAATTTCGCACTCCCGTTCCGCTTCAATCTGCTTAAATATGTATGTGTTGTAAAGCTTGTTCAATGGGGAAACCTGTAGAGTGTAAGTTTGCTTATTGTTTATGCTTTCGCCCGGCTGCATCTGCATTTTTTTCCTTTTGTAATTAAATATGCACAGCTGATGCAGCTCGTCTCCAATACAAATACAAATATACATAAAATATTTCACATCTTTTGTTTTTTCTGCGCTGCTGTATAAAGTGCAACAGGTCATATGGCCAGTGCAAATATTTGCGGGCGCGTTTACCCCTTAGTCAAATATTGGCAATTTCGAAATGGGCAATTGACATTGACACAGGCGCAGACACGCCCACTGGGCCTGTTCAAATAGGGCCGGGTAAATTGTACAGAAAATAAATAAAGATATGGGATTAATCAAATAAACGGGTAACGAAAAAACAAAAACCAAAAATTTCTTTAATAATTTTATTTAAATTATATTTTGTTGAGTTGTTGTTGCGGTTGCGATTGTTGTTGTTTTACAAACTGCATTTAAATGTAAAAAATACAAAAACTTAGGCACAAGAATTTGAAACACTTCAAATTGAATAGAAATCCACTTTAAATTTAAATTACAAATTATGACTTCGTTTCGCTTAAGAGATGAAGAGAAAAGTGTCTATTAAATAATCGCTTAAATCAAAACTAAATCATAATCATAAAGTGTGTGTGTGTGTATATGTACTTGCAAAGGGCTGCGATCTCGGTTCAAATTATGCAAACCAACCCAGCTAGAAAACAAATCGTTCGTGTTCGATGACGAACCGTTTAAAAGGTATGTGTGCATAGAACAAAACTAAAAATTGACGATAAATTGCACAAAAAACTACAAATTATGATCGAACACTGAGTACATATCTGCTTGAGGGTCTGTGTTTTCTTGCTTAGAGTTTCTCAATCGTTTTTCTCATCGTATGACTTGTATGGTTTACGTATCTCGTAGTTACCTACGAACTAAGTTTAAAACTTATGACACTAAAATCAAATATTTACAGCATAAAGAGCAGCTCTTCTCCATTTCCATCGTTTCCGTTTTGTTTTTTTTTCCCATTTTTTCTTTTTTGTCTGCAGCATTTTGTCCTAAGATTAGATTTAACATTAACTTTAACCGTACTCGTAGGTGTATTTTGTAATTGGTAACTAAACTAAATCAGCTCAACACTCTAGCCTGCTCGAATCTCTCAGCAGGATGCTCTGCGTTAATATAATTTAAAATTATAACTATTACCGTAGGTGTGTGTGTGTGTGTGTATAATCGTAATTCATTTAAGTTACAATAACTATAGATATGACACTGTCACTGTTCGCTTAAACCGAAAACAAAACAAAACTGCCTCCAGTTTCCTTCCTAACTCTCTCTCTCTCTCGTTCTCAACTATTGCACTGGTCCGGAAACGGAGGACGCGATGGCTACGGGTGCTGCTGCGTTCCATAGGCCACCGCCGCCAGCTGCTGGCCATAACAGTCGTAGCCGGACTGCAGGAGGCTGTAGGGGCTGCGGGCCAAGTCCTTGCGAGGCGGGGGCGGCATCATCGCCAGGTCATCGCACTCCGCCGGCTTCTTGTTGCTGCTGCTGCTGCTGATGGTGTTGCTGCTGTTGCAGCTGGTGTTGCTGCTGCAGCCGGTGTGGTTGTTGCTGTTGTTGTTGTTGTTATGATGTGGCTTGTAGTGGCTGCTACCGGCAGCTCGTGCCGGCTATGTGCCCCATCCGCCCGATATTCTCGGCCGTTTGTGGTTGGGTGCATCGTAGTCGCCCAGTTGTTGCTGCTGCTGCTGATGTTGCTGCTGCTGTTGTTGCTGCTGCTGCTGCTGTTGCACGGCCACTGCGGCCAGACGCACATCCTGCTCGCTGCTCGGCGCACCTGCATTAAGGATAATGAAGTCTGTTAGACTATTAGTTCGATTTGATCCAAGGTCGCATGTGTATGACAAAGGCAGGCAGAAGGACATTCAGGGCGGGGGCGTGGCCAGACACTTGGACATTCAGTATCTGGCCAATGTGAGCTTGTTGTGTCGTGTGATTATGAGTTCGGCAGTTCTGGAAGGCACTTGGGCCCGATTTCTCAATGTAAAGTTAGCTTATCGCATTATGTTAGGTTTTAATTGACTAAAAACTTTTAACAAGAGGTTAAATTGTCGGTCCAATTTATCACTCAATTGCTAGTAACAGACTGTGTGTAAAGATTTGTCGTTTGTAAAGTTAACATCATGTTGAGAAAACAAACTAATCTGTTATAACAATTTAACTTCTAGAGTCATGTAAGCCTTCTCAATATCATGTTAGGTTTAATCTGACTGAAAACTTTAAACTAGAGGTTAGATTTTAAGTTGACTTTATCGATCCATTTTTAATAACAGACTTTGTAAAGATATTTCGTTCGTTAAGCTAACATCACATTGAGAAAACGAATTTCTCTTTGTAACAATTTAACTTTCTTTCGATTTTAAATATATATTTTTTTAGATAATTCACTTATGACTTCTTCTAGTGACTTCTAGAACTGCAGGTACTGTGTTTTTGGGTTAGCAGGAAATCGCTTGGTTGTATGGTTAGTGGAGGATAATTAAAACGAAAGCCAGGCAAACATAATTTCTTTGGAATTTCACAATCTTTAGGGTCCCCCATAAACTCCAAGTAGTTCAAACATAAGACCCACCCATTTCCCTAAAAAAGGATCAAGGAATTTCTTAACATTTACAAGAATTTTGCTAGAGTTTTGTATGTATGCGTATATATAGGTGTTTGTATGTATATGTATGTATTTGTGTGTAAATGTGTGTGTGTGTGTCTGAATGTATTTTGATGTATTTCGTTTGTGGCCAATTTACCGGCAAAATTCCATCTAGGATTATGTCCCATTAGCGCGCGGTACGGATATCCTTCATACTTATCATGCCCTAAATATTATCACACATTGTTGTTGTTGTCGTTGTCGTTGTGGGTTAATGCAAAAAAAGACAATCGTATTATATAGTAACAATATTAGGAACGGCTTAGGTTGCAAGTAAGAGTAAAACGAAAATCAACGCGGCGTATACGTAATCTAAGGTTAAGTATACGCCCATTGGGCACTTGAAATTAAATATTAATAGATATAAAGAGAGGTCGTTTAGCAACTAGAATCATGCTGCTATAAGGATTACTTTTTTGTATTATTTAATAAATTTGCAACTCTTTGGAAATTAGTAGACAAACGGCAGCAATTTTTGCAAGCGGAAATCCTTCGAACACGAGGGAGAAAGTCAAAGAACAAAGGAAAGGAGAGCGAGAAAGTGAGAAAGAAAGGAGTAAAGGCCTACCTGGAGTGGGTGTTAGGTGGCCCGTGGACGAGGGCCGCGAGTTGGGCATGACCAGGTGGTGTTGCTGCGCGTGGCTCAGGACGCTCAGATTGGTGGCCTGCTCGACATTCCCATTGCTGCCGCCTCCCCCTGCTCCTCCTCCCGGCCCCGAAGGACCTCCTGCCAGGACACTGACGTTGTTCAAGTGCGTGATGACATTGGCTGCGCTGACGGATACACCGCCTGCCCCACCACCGCCTCCTCCTCCGCTGGCATTGCTACTGGTGCTGCTGCTGGATCCGCCACTGCCCGTGGAGCCATTGCTGTTCTGCTGATGACCACTGGCGGAGAGATCTCGCGGCGGCGACTGCGGCTCGGCCTTGACCTTGATGGAGACGGGTGAGGTGGCGGGCGGCGGCGTGCTATTCGAGACAGCCAGGTGCGAGAGACTGTAAAAGGATGCAGATACAAGTTATTGGATATCCTCTACCAGTTCCACGTAGACCATGCTCACCTAGAGTGCGGCACCAGGCCCTGATGCCAGGTGTTGAGGCTCATGATATCCGCGCTGTTCATCACCCCCGAGGAGGAGAAGTCCTGCGCCCCAAAGGAGTAGCTCGTGAGGGCGGGAATAGGCGTCTGCAGCGTGACCACTGGTGTGTTCAGCGATGTCTGACTCTGTCGTTGCTATGGGAATACAGATCAAACCAAGGTAAAGATGAGGTAAGCAACATTATATATTATATACCCACATCTGCATAGGCCACATCGTCTGGCGCTGACATGTTGGGCGGTATGGGGGCGATGGTGGGCGGTATGACGACCCTTAGATTGGAAGCTCTTCCATTCTGGCTGCCCGGCGACTGCTGCTTGATGGACAAGTGGTGGGCTGCAAGGATACCTTGGTTAGTTAAGAGCCACAACCACAAAGTAAGTTAATGTTATGGTGGTTTAAGTGATGGAGGAGGATTAGGATAAGGATAAGGAGATGTAATGTTTATGCCCACCTATGCCAGGACTGGGACCCGGACTCGGTGATCCCACAAGCGGCGAGTGTGAATGCGGATAGCCGTTCGACATCTCCAGCATGGAACCCGTTGGATAGACTGATGAGCCAAAGAGAAGATAAGAATATGCAAAAACACATGTTTAGACCAGATGGCTATCACAATAGGTATACACTATGTATAGAGAACTTCGCACGCATTTTTGGTTAGATGAGGCGGTGAGTGGGGTTAGGGAAATCAGAATTAGATATATTATAATAAATCAGAAACAATAGAACCAAGGTTAGAGGGTTAGAGGTTAGAGCTTTTCGAACAACCATGCAGATCATATCAGATCATATCATATCAAATCAGAAGAAGTAACAGAAAACCAAAACAGATAGATAGAAATGTGTGTGCAGCCGGCGCGAGACACTCTGTACTAACTTATCAGGGACATCCCACCTGAATCCGTCTCCGAACTCGATGGACGTGGGCTGATGTTGGTGTGGGACATCTGTGGGCTGGCCTGCAGCAGGTTGTCCCCATAGGAACCGGGCACCGGAACGGAAACCGGCAGGGTGTAGCTGCTGTTGGGCAGCTGGCGGGCCGATCCCGCTCCGCCGATGGCCATCTGGTTGCGCTGCATCATGTTCTGGAACTCCTCGTCGATCTTGTTGTACTTGGCCTCCGTTCGCGGTGTGAGTGTGTAGTCCGTTTCGGCTTCAGGTGAGTCCGGCGACATCACGCCGTTCTTGTTCTCCTTCTGCAAGATGTCAAAATAAAACGGGGAAAATTTTGTTAGACGAGTGATGTGACGTGATGTGTTAATTGCCCCAGGCACTCCTTTCGGGCCACTTGACGCTTTGTTGTGCTAAATTATGTAAATCCCAATCTTGTCCTGCGCTCCGTTCCCTCGGCAGCATTAACATTACAAAACCATTTACGCGCTGACGGAGAAGACGGCGAAATCGAGACAGCGACGCCGCATTAGAAATGCAAAATACTCTGGCGACATTTCCCCTTCTCCGCTGGTTTTTCCTCCGCTGCAGTCCCTGCCTTTATGGCCATCGCTTTAATCCTTGCCAGAGGCTATTCAGGTTTACTTAAGGTCTGCAGCACTTCCGGAATTACCGAATTTTTTCAGGGCCCATCCAATTAAGTATACATTGTGTATATGAAATATATACTTAAAGACGATTACTTTCACGGTTTTTGATTTTATGTATTTCTTGCAAACAGCTTAATTACCTTTTTGAATTATTAAACAGTTAAGCTTAGACAACTTGTTTTATTTCTGATACCCTTAAATACAATCAAGATTCCAAGTTTAAGATTATAAAGATTTGTAAAATTTCCTTGCCCTATTTTGGGGAACAAAATTGGAAGTATATTGTTTAATTGTATCTATTTAACTAATTAGTTCCGACTTGATTTTATAAGAGTAAAAAAATATATGTATATTATTTCTGGTCCTTCACTTTTTTTCAAGATTCCAGGATCAAGATTATATAGAAAGTTTTCTTTAATGTTTAGGAACAACATTAATAATATTTCTATAAATTTCTTCTGCCTAACTACTCAATTGCAAGTTAAATCTACTGTAGCTAAATTTCTGGTTAAGTATGAAAGAAAAAAGATACTTTAAGGCAGAACAGGGTTTTACAAAATATGGTCTAATGTCTAATGTTTAGGAATCCCTTGTTTTCCGCCCTTCTGCTTCTGCTGCTGCCTTTGCAACTGTGCTTTTCACGGCCCACTTGAATTTGCATAATAGCACTCTCTCTTTCGAGCCGCTTTTCCCCGCTTTTCCGCCCCATTTTCCTACCCCTTCTCCTTTTTTCCAACTTACCTCGATGATGTTCTTGTTGGTGAGGGACTCGTGGGGCTCATTGTACTCGGTGTACTTGAGCAGGACGCGATCCATGTCGGTGCTGGCGTACTGGTACAGCTTGTTGCTGGACGAGAAGATGATCAGGGCGATCTCGCAGTCGCAGAGCACGGACAGCTCGTAGGCCTTCTTCATCACGCCGAACTTGCGCTTGTTGAAGGTCACCTGGGCGGGGCGAAAAAAAGAGTACCGGAAACGGAAACGGAAGTGCGTTCAATTAGGAACTCATGCTCAAATATTTATGCGGTTCGAAAATGTAATTAGAGGCATGGCCTTAGCCCAAGTGGCCTGGCCAAGTGGGAAAGTGGCGGGCCCGAGCCCTTGCTAGCTGGCTAGCTAGTTGGTAATGAATCGATTATGGCCGAGTCAAGGCCAAAGGGGCACAGCAATAAACAAGTTGTTAGTGTTCCTGGTCGATGACGCGTTTACGTCGTTGGCCAAGACACCGCCGCAGTGAGGACAACAGAAAATCGGTGGGAAAACCTTGCGATGACACGTCACACACGCTCGAAAGTTCAAAAATGGGCATGGTGAGTTGAAATAATATCCGAGTGAAAGAGCTGCTTATAAAGTTTTAAATGTCTGCTTTATTCTGGGATATTTAACTACCAAATATTCTAAGGGTCATTTTCTCTTCCGCATGATGAACATTGAAATAAACTGTTTAGAATCTACTTTTATTTTAACATATGGACAAAAAAGCGGCGCTTTGAAAAAATATAGATATTTCTTCATTTCATTGTAAAAGGCACGAAATGCAAATATGTTCTTCTCAATATATAAATAATTTGTTTTTGGGAATTTCTATAAAGTACGGAAGTTATATAAAAATAAATTTATGAACTTCCTTTATTGTCGGATATTTGTATTACTCATTGTGTATTTATTTCCAAATTAGTTGCAAACCAATCTCATACTATATATACAATTTTTTTACAATTTCTTTTATATACAAGGGTGGTCAAAAGTATTTTCACAAAAAAAAAGTTAAATATATTCATAATTTGAACTTACATCTTGTTAACTTTGGCATCAATGGAAAGGTAATTTAAATGCCGTTTGAATGATACAATACATTTCTTAACACATTCAGTACTTATTGAAAAGGACGAATTTGTGTGAAAATGTCCTTTTTGAACTTTTTTCCTCGACTTGAAAACTTAAATTTTTTGATGCAAAAAGTTTCTTCAAACAAAAATAATAGTAACTGCATAAAGAATTTTTCAAAAATCATTTTGCTTATATTTTTTATGATTTTTTGAAAATGCTTAGAAACATGCATTTTAGGCATATTTTTCTCTTTTTCATACAAATTTTTTCCGACAGTGTCACCTTTAAAAATCCATAAAAAATATAAGCAAAATGATTTTTGAAAAATTCTTTTTGCAGTTACTATTATTTTAGTTTGAAGAAACTTTTTGCATCAAAAAATTTAAGTTTTCAAGTCGAGGAAAAAAGTTCAAAAAGGACATTTTCACACAAATTCGTCCTTTTCAATAAGTACTGAATGTGTTAAGAAATGTATTGTATCATTCAAACGGCATTTAAATTACCTTTCCATTGATGCCAAAGTTAACAAGATGTAAGTTCAAATTATGAATATATTTAACTTTTTTTTTGTGAAAATACTTTTGACCACCCTTGTATAGATAAAGTTTAAATGTGTAAAGTTTTACTTCCCATTCATAGCAGTTAATTAGGAATTAATTTGCCTAATCCCACGACATAATTTACCGAACACCTATTGCCACAATTAAATGGGGAAATGCTATCTCAACACGGGTTCAATTTCAATTTAATAGCCGAAAATCGATTCATCACCGTCTTAATTAAGTTACATTGCTATGGCAAATTCGAAGCTCCTGTTTCGAGCTTGGCAAACAATTGTTGCTCACTGAATTATTATTATTAATATTATTATTATTGTTGGCGTGTATTGCTACTCACCTGCCGATTGCGTTCATCGGTGATGCGTGATATTTGAATTTTTTTGCGACCCATGGCAACAGTTTTCCTATCCTCCTGCGATGGAAACAGAGATGAGATGTCCTTGCACTCGACTGGCTGGCTTATTTGCTGGATACTCTAATTTTCCGGCAGCTATTCGGAAAACTCTGTTAGTGGCTGCCCTGCGGATTGCTGTGGCTCTTCCTGTTGTGGCAGACGTGGGGCATATTTATATATATTATCTATATAGTAGCCCTTCTTTGTGTTCTTGTGTAAGTGGACGGCTTGTCAAAACGGCAAATTCTTCGTGTATATATATCTATATAGGTGTGTTGTATATAATTTTATATAATTCTGTTTCCGTATAAATTGTCCTCAGGTAACTGAAACGAAAGATGGGAAAAAAAACCGAGAGAATAAGTGATTGACTGAAATAAAAGGGTGGGAGTATTTAACCCATGGCTAACCCGTTTAACCCACTTATCTGGCGACTTCAAAAGGGTTTTCCAGCTGGACGGGGCAGCAGGATTTGCGGTCAACTTGCTCCATTGTCGCTCCACTGGCGCTGAAAGTTCAATGCACCGCTAATGAAGAGCAAGTTGTACTACTTATATAGCGCCCACAATGGATGACCTATTTCATGAGGCTCGAGGCTTTGGTTAATTGATGTCGACTGACCCCACGCATGATTAGATTCGCGCTGTCCCTTTGCCCTGGAGGCCCTGGGCTCCTAGATCTACCGCCTTTGATGTCCTGTCGCCACACACACACAACATACACACGCACTAAATCAATAAGGATGTGCCAACAAGTTCAGTCGCACAAACTGTTTTAAAGCGGAAACGGAAGCGGCACTCCAGATCCCGTTTTTCCGTCTGCCCGGGGCAACGGCAACACTCAAGAGCACCGGCGGAAGCTGGGTCTCTGTCGCATTTCCAACGTTTTCCCAGCTTTCCCCGGCTTTTGCCACTTTTCCCCCACCTTTCGCCATTTTCCCTCTGCGGCAGCGGCACGTGGCTGGCAAACGCGAGCCAGCAAAAACATCCTCGGGACCCCTCACTGCTCCTTTCAGCAGGGAGAATTTATCACTGAGATAAAACTGGGTTATAAACTGGGTAGGAAGTTATTGAAATCGAAAACGAAACAGATCAATTTATAATTGTTCTTTTAATTCCCTCATGAAATTGCGGCGGATATAATTAGAGCAATTTACTTCTAAAATAAGAATATATTGAACAGAGTTCTTTATTTATAATACTTATAATTTCTTCATAAACCGTCTTTAAAATATAAGATGAACCTTTCTTAATTGAGCTTGTCTTTGTTAGGTTCTGAAAAAACTTAGCGATTTATTTTTTCTTGTAAACTTAACACCACTTTCTTTACTTGTAATAATTATATTCTTCAGAATATTATACACTTGCCTTTCTTCTTTATTTAGCTTATCTTTATTCAGTTTTAAGGAAATAATACTATCTTTTATTCCTCGTAAATTGCATAAGACTTAAGGGTACATAGGTTTAAGGTGAATTTATAGAGTGCTTTTACAACGAATCGCTATTAAAATTATCTAGAACTTCTTAATCGAAATTCTTTGTTTTCAAGATTTAAGAGGAAAGAGAAATAAAGCAAATCAAGGCGGATAAATTTCTTTTACATCTTTCTTTGTTTTAACTTTACCATCCAAATGTCTTGGTCTTCCTTGATTTAAGCTAAGTTTAAAGTGAATCCTTGGAGTGTTTTTACTTGGAAACCTTATTGAAATTATCTAGAATTTCTTAATCTAAGTTCTGTATTTTCAAGATTTGGCATCCATTTTTTCTCCGTATCTTAAGAAAAGAAAATCGAGGCGGATAAATTTCAGTTGGCTCAGCCTGGCTCTTACTTTCCGTCTTTGCCTGTTGTTTGTCCTCTGGCCAGGACTCGGAACAACAACAACAACAAGTGCCTTGGCAACGCTTTCCCTTTTCCCCACCCACTTTTCCCCCGCTTACTTTTCCTCAACTCACGCAGCGACCTACGCAATATGCTTCAGCTTTCAGCTGTGCCAGCGGGATGAGGTTGGTGTTATAGGGGGTGGACGGGTAAAATGGGTTGTGACAGGAGCTGGGGGGGAATGGGATTTGAGGGGGTGGGGTCTTAGCCTTGACGAATATGTGTGACAGCCACACTCACACACTCATACACACTCCCCAGCAGCGAGGACACACTCAACAAATTCGATACATTTTTCCTGCTTTTCCTTTTATTCAGGAAAACCCGCCATGATTATGCGTGAGTTTTGTATTCGGGTGACTTGAACATTCATTATTGATATGGAAAAGAAACGAAATGGAAGCAAGGAGTGAATCGATAATGATATTGATGACGCTACCATTTGATTTCGAATCGGAGACATCGTGAAGTGAATAAAGCCGCTCGATGACTTTCTTGCGGGGATTTAATGGCATGACCACGGAGACAAGTGTTGCTCCAAAATGAATCGGAAAAAATTAATGTAAAGGATAGGGTATTAAGTATACGCAGTGGTTTAACCCCATGGCCCCATTCCACTCAATCAATAATTATCCGTTTGGTAATCAATATTAGATTTGGAAAATTCTATTCAGCAAGACAAATTACGACCCATGTTTGTGTTTGGGCTAAGCACTTCAGGCATAATTAAAGGAAACCTAATCCGCTTAGGAAGTGATTGCCGCCCAGGGGATTATCTCGGAAATAGTACTCTGCAGCAAGTCTGTCACTTTAGTCACTTCTTGAGTGGCTTTATGTGTTACACAGTGCAACCAGAGTAACCCCAAAACGGATGCTTAGTATGGCGATAAGTTATGAATAATTGACGGCGCGAACAAAAGCTGGCAAGTTATCACACCGCAAGTGAGTCAATTAGTGGCCCTGCCACATGCCACAGCCCTCTGAATGTCTGTGTGTGTATCTTTGTGACTCTGACTGTCATTGCAACATTTGCAAAGGGGCAAAGGGCAAAGAGGCAAGGCAAACGGGTTGGTGGCAGACACAAGGCCATGTGGCAGACAGCAGCAGGACATCAAGTGCTCGAATTACGAATTTGTCCTGTTTTGTAGCATACTTATCAGCGTCTGCAATTGAATTACACTCGTGCTGTTTTGGATACAGCTGAAAGTCAGACAAACGGAGGAGGTTTTTAATGCCACAAGAGACTTTACAGTCCTTTGATTAAACATTTAAAATGTGTGTTTAAAACCCTGACTTTAATTGACTTTAATACTTATTTTTGGATAAAAAAAAGGAAGGTAATAAAAGTTGATTTGATCCTAAAGAAGTCAATTAGTTAAATCTAAAGGTAATATAATAATGTTGTATACAGAAATAACATATTGCTTAATTTGTATATATTCAATTTGGGTAGCAAAAAGAGTAACAGTGCGTTTATTAAACCATAAAAAGAGAAATAAATTGATTTTATCATAAAGACAGCAAACAAAGAAATCTAATGTCATTACGAATTTTGTATACAGAAATAAAATATTAATTAATTATGGTATTTTCAATATGGGTAATAAAAAAATAATATTGGATTTATTTATTCATAAAACAGAGACCGCACTAAAATTATAAAAAAACACAATATAGGATATACAAAATGAAGGAAAAAAAGGTTATAATATCCAAAAGGCAGCAAACAAAGAAATGTGATGGCATCAATAATTATTTATACAGAAATAAAATATTAATACATTTTTGTATCTTCAATCTGTACTAAACTTATAAAAAACCAATATACAAAAATAAAACTGTAAATAAAGATATAGGTAGATAGATAAAATATATGAAAAACATATAAAGTGTTTTTGTAATGAAGGTGTACATTATACGCTTGGGTTTATGATACATTATCTCAACTTGATGAGCCCATGATACTTTCTTCTATATTACGATACCTTCCTAAGGCTTTCCCTTCACTTTTTTACGAGGTACACACGCCTAAGGTGTTCAACTCGTATATTATCAATTACACTGAGCACCCCCTTTATGTTTACCAAAGTTCCACTCTAAAGTTATCGGACATCTGCATTCGGTGGCCGGGAGAAGCATTCGCCCAGCCAGTATCTAATCTCGCAAGAATTTCAAGTTGCCAAAAACTCTTTATAAATCAAACAGTCACGTCATCCGTTTGGTCTACACATAGTATAGTAATGGGCCAGTGTTTGTTTAGTCGGGCGGCACTTCAAGTGGTGCAGGTGTGGAAAACAATCAAGAATGGCAGGCAGAAATATTTGACTAATTGCAGGCTGAAAAGTTGAGAGAGAAGAGGGCTAATCACCGCAACGGAATGTGGCGAGAAACAACAAAGGATGTGCGGAATCTGTGGCCCGGGGGCCGAAAAGAACTTAACACGGTTTTCATTGCAACAATCAACCATTTGCGGTTGCAACATTTCACTGGGTCAACGGCAAAGGCGGCACTTGAGCAGGATGGTAAAAAAAAAAGAAACATGGGGGATACTAGATGGAAAAAAGGAAGGAAGGATGTGCCGAGTCTGAGTTCCATTGGAGGATGTGTGTCAAGACATTTGTCTTGTGGCCGGGCAATTAAAACGAAGCAAACTGCCGCCACACACGTTTGCCAGTTTCTCCATTTAATTGGCCCCAAAGACTGAGGCGACATCATTAGGCAAATGGCCAAGAACAAATACGAATCTCAAGAAAGTGGGTGTTGTTTTACCAAGTTTCTCGGACTCCTCCAACGGAATCCCTCTGCTTTAGCAAACTTTCTTGTTGTTGATTTCCCTAATTGTTTGGACCAACAAAGGCTGGGGGGACATTATCGATTTGATTTAGTGAATCACTCTCTGCGGCTTTTTCTCCGATGAGCAGGCATTTCAAAAAGGCGAAAACTTGTTGCTTGCCTTGATTGCGCTCAATTAGCATTTGTTGCGTTCAAATTTATGCAAATTTTAAACTTTTCCGTATTTTGGTGGAATGAACTCCGAACCGATTTCGAAAACCAGTTGTGTTGGAGCAGCCAATGAGATGAGCTGATGTTCTGAATGCAATCTCTCACAGTCTGAAATCTCACAGCCTCAATTAGAGCGAGATACCTTTCATAAATTCCGTTTTTATGGCAGCTGCCCGGCCAAATTTCAAGTTTAAAAAACCCCAAATTTATCACCTGCATTTAAAATAATATAAATTCTGGAGGGGGTTTATATGTACATTTGCCTAACTTGTGAATGGTGTAGATGTACTTGGTGATTTTTATCAATTTACTAGATCTCAGCTTTTGTGGTAAGTTCTGACTTCCTTGGTCGCATCTCACTTTCACTTTTCATCAGCCGGAGATCTGTCAATGTCCCCCGACTTTTTTTGTTGTTAATGGGCCGCAGTTAACGCATTCTTGCCAC